TCTTCCCTCCTTCTGGTTAAAGTCTCTTCCATCAGAAGCCATGAAAGCTCTCGTAACTGCAGGAAAACCCAGACATGCTGAGCAATCATGTTGCTCTCATGAGAGGATCTGTTGATTACCTTCTCTCAGCATTTCTGTGTCTTCTGCAGTGGACTAGGAAGCTCCAGATGACCACAGCTGCATKTTTATGTGGTCAATTAACACTAGTGTGATGGTTTCCTGAATTTTTTTAATTGATGGAAAAGCTGAATTTTCCTTTTGCTTGTAACTACCTTGCTTGTACTAAAACATCTCTGCAGATGTGCTCTGAATGGAAGGTTTATCACATCCAGAGGAAAAATAATCAATCAGCTCCCTGAACCAGTCCATAATGCCAGCAATCCCTAAATTATGGCAGTGCAATTTGGAAGGATGATTTAGGAACTGGTATGGGCAGCTGGACATGAAGCTGACCCTGCTGCTGAGGAAAACAGCCCTATACTGCTCCACTGAATAAGAGGGTTAATTCTTGTTAACCAATGCAGCCTTGAAGAAAACTTTTGTCAGTGCAGAGTTCCAGGAAGTCTAGAGGTGTATCAAGTGTTTAGAAATGTTTTGCTGCAATYACAGTGAAACTGCATCCTTGTGGAGGTGCTATAAGGTATAATGCTCTGTATGAAGCAACCATGCACTCTGAATTTSATCTGTGCAGACTTAGAGACATCATCTTTACGTCCTTGTCTGAGATCTTGAAAAGACAGKTTTTTAAGGCCACAGCTGCTGCCCTGCCCAGCGGCAGAGGCTAAGACTGAAGAGCCTGAAGAGGCTTTGCAAAAGTCACCAAGGGTTTAATTACAAGTAAGGTTRCATTCTGAATATGCAAAACTTGAGTCTAAATGCCTTGGAGTGTGTTTAGGGCATKAAGATGTGTACAGGGTAGAGTCCTGCCCTGTTATCAGATCCAGCAATCCCTTTGCCTATGTAGGACAAGTCTGCGTGCCAGCACATCTTGCAGCCACAGATAAATGCGTCAGAGCTCATAAATGCTGCTGAACCAGTGCAGAAGTGCCYTGTACCCACTTCAGGCTCTCTGATTTCAGGATTGTTGCAGGCAGAGGCASCTGCCTGTCAATACTTGTCCAAGTGTGTGTATCCCATGGGTGAGTGTGAACTGATTCCTAAACCTTGTTGGTGGTCAGTTGCTAGAATGAGACAAAGGCTTACCCTCTGCCTTTGTTGATTAGAGCTTGAAAGGGAAGATAACTCTGCTCTCTTGGGACAGTGACCTAATTTGGTGGTTTTTGCCTTTTCCCTTTTGATGGTAAATATCTTATTTGTGTTTCAAAACAAAGCTATAGCTGTTGAACAACTTAAAACTTTGTGTCTGCTGCCTTCTTGGCTATGAGATAATTGATCCATTCAGTAAAAATATGTCATTTTGAAGCAAGTTAGAAGACAGGAGACAAACAAAACAATCATATTTACTGAAGTAGGTTCTTAAGCAGATGATGCAGTCTCATCAAAGTCCTAGACCTAGCTAGAAACTACTGTCTTACAGCAGCTGCTGACTTGATACCTGAGTAGCAACAGGTTAAACTCTTCTCAGACACATTTCCAGAATAAAATTCAGGAATGGAGGTAGAGATGTTCTATGATTCAACATGATGTGTTTAAGTCAGTAGACCTGCATTCTCATGGAGGAGAATTATCTAGAGACTGTAGAACATAAGTTGACTTTGACACAGTCTCTTTGGTCTGGTACGTGACACTTGGCACTGCAAAATCCTGCTCCAGAAAAGGTGCTCCGAGGTGATCCCATCAAGCAAGTGATACAATTCCCAGCATGGCTGTGAAAAAGGTTCAAAAAGCCCCAATGTTTTACTTGGGTTCCATTAGGCTGCTGCTTCCATGTATTGTTTTCCTACTGCAGCTGGCAAAATATTTCTGTGTTAAAASAAGTGTTTTGTCCCACCTTCCTGACCCTCCTGTACAGCTTTGCAGCACAAAGCCTGGCATTGTAGGTGTGTTTGCAGAGGTTAAGTGATAGCTTCACAAACACAGACTTGAAGTATTGCTGCAAAAATCACTTAAGATTGTACGTTGAAGAGGCTGAGGTAAGGCAGAAGGTGGTTCAGGGTTGGTTTGGTAGAAGACATTGGTCTGGCTGCAGTGCCAGAGTTTTGCCAGAGCACCTTGTCACTGAAGGGAAACTTCTTAGAGCAGTAGAGGCTAACAGGGTTGGTTTCCAGACTCTCTAAAGAGTAACTGCATGTCTTTGGCAACCCTCTGCTTCTCAAAGTCCTTACTCTTACACTCATGTGTTYATAACATGGGATCTCTGGGTGCAGTTTCTGCTTGAATTGTAGGCTGTGTGAGGTGGCTGGGAYAGGCTCTGCAAGAGAGACACAATAGCTGCAATCAGAGCCAGGCTGTGGGAACACAATGTTGAATGACCTCCTCAGCCCCTGGGACTCTTCTCATGCTCTTGCAGGCATCTACATCATGCAGACCCTCTGCAATGTGCTCACAATTCACTTGGTATTTTGCTTCAACTACAACTGCTAAAAGGCCTTCCCAGAGACTTCCTTCTCTAGCAGCTGAGCTGTTTAATATTGAGCWGAATCTGTCCACATTTAAACTATTGCTGTGTTCTTGCTGATGTGGCTTCTCCAGGCTTTGTTCCCACTTGACATGCTTATAAAATGTACCTTTATGGTCCTCTGGTTTTATTAAAGAAGTGTTCTTAGCTGTTTTGGACACCCCATCAGAGACAGGCAGGAGCTGTGGTGTGGGGCCTGTTGTTCCAGCCAGAACACTGGAATAGCCACTGGAAACAGTGGTTTGGGTGATAAAAGCTGCTTTTTGTGCTGCTTCCTGCCATTCCTTTGCCACAGGGGTTTTCCCAGTATAGATCAAGTCCCTAAGCATAAACATTCTGTGGAAAAAAGGGCTCTGATTACACCGAAAGCACCTTGGATTGTAACACCCTCTTCTTTTATGGCCAGCTGAGYACTGTATGCTGTGGTTTCATCTATTTTTACTTATAGAGGCATCATTCAGTGTGAAGCTGTATTTTTAATGTGTGAATAGTATAGGTAGAATACCATGCATTATTAGGTGGGTTTTTTGTAATACAAAGTTATTTTTTTTATATGCAACCCACACGCTTCAAGCTTTTGTGTCTTTGCTGCAGGGTGGAAGTTGAGGGGGTGCTGCATGCTGTGACAGTTGGGCAAGGAACACATGTGGGTTGAGATTGGCATTCACAGAGCTGGGAAGCACTGTGGCACTTGCATATTTGCCAGAATTCCGGGGAAAATGATCATAAGTTAAGCAATACTGRTATTTAAGCATTCCTCTTTGTTTCATAGCTCAACTGAATAGGGACAATTTAGATAGGGCCCCTGTGTCAAGCTGTCAGCTGCTGCAAGAAGCTAAGGCATAATTTTTAATGATTTTTCAGCCATCAAGGTGACAAAAGCAAAAATATGATTTTCCAAGACACTATCAGGCCCACTCTGCAGGGAAGGCGGGGGTTAGGGGTAGGCAGTAGCACAGAATCTCTGGAGTCTTGATTTCAGCTTCTGTGGGACAGGCCTCTGTCTGTATTTAAATTTGAGTAAGGCTAGTGGATAAAAACATACTTCTGAGAGAAATTRGAGCAAACACATCTGGTGCTGGAGATGCACAGTCACTATTGGCACCTTACCATGATCACTGAACAGAGCCGGGGTCCCAGCTGGCATCACTGCATGCACCTACCTCTCCTTAACCCTGCTCCTTTCCCTGAAAAAGCCAGCTCAGAAAGAAGATCTGTTGCTGAAGGATTTGAGGTAACTCAGCCCTTTTCCAAGACAGCAAAGCAGGCTTCAGCCATCCAGTTACTGGCAGCCAACATGCTCTGTGTTAATCTGTGCTTGAGCTGTGTGTTGGATGCTGGCCAGAATGTTCAATACGTCACGTAATAAGGCTTTTTCGTGCAGTTCATTTGTTCCTTTTTATCCCTCAATTTGGAAAGCAGCACTGGTGCAGGTTGTACTTGAGGGATTTATGTGATCAACACCTTGGAGAGCTGTACTTGCCTGTCTTTTCTCGAAGGCACCAAGGTGACAGCAGTTATGTCGCACTTCTGACCTCCTTTTAGAAAGGCTGTGTTTCAAAAATGCCAAATACCCAGTTGCTAATATACAAACTGTTATTTGTTGGGGAGAATTTGTGTTTGGTCTGGTAGAATTTATTGGCTGCAGGAAACTCCTATTATTAAAATTTCTTTTGTTTCAAATTGTAACATAAAAAGCTAACATTTGTATATGGTTTGAGATGAAATGATATAACACGTGCACATGGAAGAAAGCTGAGCATTGTGGCATCAGTACGATAATGTTGCAAGAATTTGACTTGAAATCAATTTATAAARTGTTGTAATTAATTGAAATGTTTTTCTTAACACATTGAGGTAAAGTGTACAAGTTCCTGCCATGCACTTAATTCTGGGCAAACTATCTCCTATCAACAATCCTACTTCATTTTTTTTAACCAGTCTACTTTTAACCAGTCTTGTAGTTTGGGGGGAGCTGAAAGCACTGCTTGCCTTAGCCCTGAGCTGTGGCTGTTAGCCATAAAATCATCACAGAATTACAGAATGGTTTGGGTTGGAAGGGACTTCACAGATGATCTATTTCCAGCCTCCTGCCATGGGCAGGGATGCAGTCCAAAATAATGGAGGTGATTGAATTGGTGGGACTAACTCACAGCTGAGTATGACAGCGTGTAATCCMTCCACTTGGTTACTGTGTGAAAATGACTGGCCAACATCTGCAAAARCTGCTCTGGGAATCTAGCAGGAATTATTCCTGCATTCAGCACCGCCTGTTACCTGGTCCAGAACTGATGCTTCCACTCTCGCCCTGAAGTYGAGTCCTTGAACGAAGCCCAGTGAMGAACAACAGAGAACCTCCTTAAGAGAGAAGAAAGGGGAGGAGAAAGCGTCTCTCTCTGGTTATAGCAACCCCACCTCCCGGTTATTTCATCTTCCTTACAAGGCTAAAGCCAGGAGCTTTCCTCTGCGCTTGGGTGCCTTAAAAGCTGGAGGCAAACCCTAGGATCCCCGTGGAATGCAGTCGGGATGTGCGGCTGACAGAGACGAGGAAGGAGGCACTGGCATGAGCCCTGCGGAAAGCACAGCAGAGGAGGCTGGTGCTCTCCAGAGAAGTGWGACAGTAACCTATGAATCTTAAACCAGGTGTCCAGTGATGCAGATCTTCTAAAGAAACATGAAATCAAACCCTAAAAGAAATCACTGAGAGGGAAAAAGTGCARCATAAGAGGTAACTATATTTTCCCTTGGGACAAACTGAAATAACTGGTTGTATTTTGTTTGCAAATCGTCATTGTAAGTTGGTGTCTGAAACTGCAGACTGAAAAATGCATTTATTAACATCTGAATAAAGACTGGTCTGACTGACTTCAAAAGCAGCACTGGGTTAAAAACTCAGATCAGCAGATTAATTCAGGTGCCTCTGAAGCAATTTTGAAGTTTCTCTTTAGGCATTCACACCTTAAAGCTTCTTTAAAATCTACTTTTTTGCTGTCTACTATTGCTAGATATTTTCAAGAAATAGTATGCATGTTGTGTTGGGGAAAAAGCATGGCACAACCAAAACCTAAACTGAGAATGCGGTAAACTCTCTCCATCATTTCAAATGTTCCCATACCCTTGTTCTTGCAGTGGTGCCATTTCTTCAGAAAGATCCATGACCTACTGAGCTGGAATGTCTGTTGACATCTGGTTGAGGTTACTGTAACTGGTATTTGGGGTTCTTTTTTTTTCCAGTTTAAGTGAAACAAGCTGAGATTGTCTACATTCTATGAAATGTTTCCATGCTCTGACTGTCTAGTCTCTCTGATGGGTRATTCTAGAACTGCCAAATCTGAACTGGAAAAGAGGAAACACCTCGAGAGTTCAAAAACTGCAGCCCTTCTATGGACCRTGCTGCCAGGGAAAGTCAGAGTGGCTGAAAGATGCGAGACTTTGCCCCTTGTGTGTAAGATGGACCAAGACAAATGTTTTGCCAGTGTAATACTACTGACTTTAGCATAACTGTGTTCTGGAGCTTTTGATTTACACCTTTGCAATGCTAGAGGGTTTACAGATGCTTTTATTTACCAGCTAAAATGAGAAACTGGCCTGTGGAGAAGAGCTGCTGGGAGCTGTGACAGAGCATGAGACCAGAGAATTACTAGACAACTCCTGCAGATTCTCATCGAAGCATTGGCTCAGCCTCCCCATCAGTGCATGCAGAGCTGTGGGTTCAGCAGCTGAGGATGGAAGTGCTGCGTCGCTCCTCAGTCTTCGCTGCAGAGGTGATGGAGGTTTTTGACAGGTCTCCCACTGACAAAGAGCTCGTGTCCCAAGCCAAGGCTCTCTGCAGAGACTACATAAACTCAAGGCTGATTCGAGCGGGTGTGAGCTGGAGCAAACCCGAGTACAACGCCCCGGTGCCGGGGGGGAAGCTGGCTGAGGTGTCCACCATCCTGCTCCGACTCGGTGAGTCCCTGCTGCCATGGGGGCAACTCAAACTGCATGGAGTGATTCACACCACACTAAGGCTTCTGCAAGAGGCTTTTCATGTGATGATACAGAGGTTTTTCTTCTCTGATTTATGCCTTTAKTTTTGGTTTTGGTGGTCTTTCCCAAACAGCTCCTTTGCTTGAGTTTCCTYAGTCTCTTGGAGCGCTGCTCAGCACGGGGTTTCTGCAGAGCTGCCTTATTCTGAGGACTTGCAACAGCTCAAAATCACAATGCAGTCCAAGAAAGCCCAGCAGCTGACTGATTCTGTGTGCACAGGTCTCCAGCTGYGTGACAGTTCTCACAGTACTTAGAGCAGTCTTTCTCAGCTGAGCATTTTAACCAGTCTTGCAGTGTTTTCTCCAGATGTGAGTGACTTGATTGCCACCATACATCTGGCCCCTTGTAGGGCGCTGCCACCACTGGACTTGATTTTCAGCAATAACTCATCCAGCTGCAGGGACCTTTAATTTGGGAGAAGTTGCTTAGAAAATGTGTTGTTGGAGATTTTATAAAAGCTGCTTTTTAATGATAGGGTGTTTAATTTTTTCTTTGTCTACCTTAGTCATTCAGCAACACCTGAGTTTTTGTGCTTTTGGCTTGSTGTTGCCTGGCATACTCTGCCATTTGGTGCCACCCTCACAGCCCAGCAGCTTGGGGACTTCACGGAGAGCAATTTAAAGGCCATGCCTGGAGGTTGTGATATGAAGACATGCTCTAGAGCTTGTACCAGGAGCACCCTGTAAATGTTGACAGTTGCTTGGCCTTTTGGTTTGGGTTACGTAGCACCCTGTGTGCTCAAGTCTGGCTGTTTGTCTTTTGGGAACCCAGCACTCTCATTCTTGGAAGTTGCTTCCAACATCCCTGCAGGCTGGTGTACTAGTTSACATCTGGCTTGGAATCTACCACCAGCATTTGCATCTGWTTWAWT